GAAGGTGATATCGCGCGTTCTCTTCAGCTCCCGGCTCCAGCCTTGGAGCTTGATTTCCGTATGAGCCTGAAACTTAATCCTACCTTATCTGTGGGCCCAGGTGTCTGGGGCCAGCGAGACTGGATCACCTTTGTTGGTGGACAGTGGGCTGGCAGATGGGCCAAAGGCATTGTTTTGGTATTTCCCCGTACACCACTGCCTCATTCGCTTCTTAACCGCTAACTTGGTATCCGTAGCCCGGTGGCCAAGACTCCCAAGTGACGGTCAAGGAGCTTGCCACAAGTATCAGATCAACCTTCCTTTTGCAAACTGCAGATGAACCCCCCGCATATATTGCTGTTAAAACAAATGGCTGGTTAACTGGGGCGAAGGAGGTACTTGAAAAGCTCCAGGACCCCACAGTAGCAGATACCATTAACCCCAGCACCTACAAATACCGTGTCAACATTTCCATGGAAACGGGAGATGAGCGCTACTCGTTCGTGAATACTGTGATGTGGGTGGGAAGTGGATGCCGTCGTGGCGCTGAAGGTATGTTTGAATCCTAGAATCTGGCACCTATGCTCAACACTCTTCTGACTGTTGCTATAGTAATCTTCGATGCTTTCCGTATTACCTAAAAGGTTAAGTTCTTTGTGCAGTTTGAGTTATCCGTATATTGCGAGAAAGTCTTTTTTTTAGGGAAAGCCGGAGTGTCGCGTCTGTGAATGCCTTTGCTACTGATTACCGGTGTCTGAGGTGAACGGGTTTTCTCTGTCGTCATTCGAGTTCAGCTTTTCGCCGGTTTGAGTTCTTGTATATCCGGTGCTCTCACATTTAATAATACCTCTGCTTTTATGTTTTCCTGTCCTGATCTACATTTTCTATGCGCTCTACTGTTGTTTTATATCGTGTATCAATTTCCTTGATGCCCTATCGGCAGTTTCTTATATGTTTTTACTATCAAAATGGTTCCTGTTGTCTGCTTTGTCCTGTTTGCTGTCACTTTGTCCTTTCACTTCAATATAATTAATCAAGAATATCCGGCCCTGGCATGCTTTGCTTAACTGCCATATTTTAAATTGATATCGCATTTACTCTCTTATCTTTGTCCTCATCCGAATGTCTGCTGTAAGAGGTCGAGTGAGTGGGCCACGTGATCTGTGTAAGGTACCTAAGCAAAGACGTCCGTATTTTGTATGACTTAGATTACGGTTGTGGGTATGAAAGAGGGTGTGTACTGTACAAGCTGTGCTGCCCGTATGGACGCGATCGCCCGGTAATACAACTTGCACCGCGAGCTCGATTTAAAAAACATCACGGATCATCGAGTGTGGAGAGCAATTGAAGCGGGTTTTGCTGCAGGAACCCGGAGAAGGCTAGTTATCCCACTGTGCGCCGTAGCCCCAGTCTTTCGGAGATCAATGTCGGGGCAGACCCTCACGTTGCAGGACCAGATTCAAATGTTTGATTTTTATGGACTTTATGTTCGTTTCCATTTTTCATTACGAATGCTTTTCTGATACGGCAACATCGTTGGTTGGTATGGTGAATGTAACCCGCGTATGAAAAGAACGAGGAAGATATACACGCAAAATACCAAAGACGGTATCCGGATTTATGATGTTCCGGACGACTTTTCGCCGGTGCGACGACCAAAGAAATATTGGTGCCCACCCCGGTGAGGACGGATCAGTGCGATGGAACGGAATCGCCTCCATGGTCGGTGCATGTACTCCGTACGAAGATATATACCTTACATTTACATGCCCAAGAGCCGATCTCGGTCAAAATCCGCGACGCCTATTGGTGTCTCGTTATTCTGGAAGGGTAAAGAGAAATACCACCTGACAACTCCGGACTGCTTGACTCTGGAGCGTCCCGAATGAGGCACATATGGCATCCACTGCTCGGAGATGACATATCAGGTGCTTTATTTATGCATGTGAGCACCACTCTTTGCAGGCGTCTGCTTCGCGTCGGAGCTAAGTCGAGCTCTCGAGGCCTGGATGTTTGCTGACATTCACTTAAAGTTTCGCCATCCGAGCGGTACCCTGCTAGTGTCAAGCCGCGAGCGAAATTAGCCGCGCTGCCGCGGGGCTGATAAGCTGGCTTTGGGGCAGATCAGGGGGCTCTCCGAATATGATGACGTGAGCCCCGGGGGTTAAAAGGCTTACGACGGGCGGGAAAATTAACCGCGCCGCCGCGGGGCTGATGAGCTGGCCTTTTGGGCAGATCAGGGGGCTCTACGAAAACGATGCCATGATCCCTGGTGGTTATATCACATACGAAGGGTGGGAAAATTAGCCGCCGTTTCGGCCGGGTGGTCTCGTTTTGTCCAGTTGATCGTCTGATCTCGGAGCATGGTGAGTCGTTAACATTAACTCTATAGAACAAAATCCAACTTGGAGTGAGGGATATGGCGTTGCAGCTCAAAGATGGGCAAGGTAATGTCATACATGTATGCTTCTCGAACTCCTTCGGGTTTGACTGCCGGTTCTATTGATATATCCAGGCATGGAAAAAGTGTAAACCAAGCAACGCAGATACATATGCAGCGATTGGAAATATACCCAATGCAATATAGATCAGAAGGAAACATATAGCATCGTAATTCTTCCGAAAATAGCGCTAGATGGGAATACTATACGGTTTCGATGTACCGTTTCACCTCCCTGAATACCAGCATTAGCCAAGCGTCACCTAGTACGGAAGAAGCACACGCGTGGTAGAGCACTTACCAGTCAGTGACCGCTTCCTCCCAAAGTCTTACCTCATGCTCTCGCGTTCCACCAAAATGGTCAACAAACTCATCCCCAAAAACTTCCCTGGCAACACTGTCCTTTGCCATGAACTTTGCAATAGCTTCTTTCAGGGACTTGGCCAGCCGCTCTCCCTTGTCACTCTCATTACCAACATTTTCACCTCGTGCCAGCGGTGGAACAGGTATTTCTAGCTTCTTCTCCACACCCCTCCATCCGAGAGCAACGATAGCTGCCAGAACATAGTGCGCATTCACATCGGCACCGGGAACGCGAATCTCAAGTCGTGACCCCTTGGGACTGCACGTAGGGGGTGTGATCAATCTAATGGATGCCGCACGGTGTTCCAATCCCCATGAAACGGTCACGGGCGCCCAGAAGTTCTCCACAAGCCTTTTGTAGGAATTTATCGTCGGGGCGAGGAGAGGCATGATATCTGGCAGTCCGGCGAGGACACCCGCTAGGAAGTGTCTCCCGAGATCGGAAAGATTTGTAACATCTGGGTATGGCGGCGATGGATCTGGCTGTTCGCGGAAGAAAAGATTTTTGCCATCGTTTGAAACGATCGAGACATGCATATGACCGCTGTTTCCGGGGAGGCCATGAACAGGCTTAGCCATGAAAACAGGCGTGATGCCATATTTACTGCCGAGAGATTTGACGACGTATCTATAAAACCAGCATTTAGCCACGGCAGTCTCCAGGAAAATATCTCGCACGAGCTCACTTAAACAATCCCGCTCTGTCTGCTATTTCTTTGATTTCCCCGAACTCCAAGGCCTGTATATAAAATGTCAGCCTCCACATATGCGTTAACAAAAGACGCCACTAACCGCTTCGAAGACTCCAGGACCACTCTCAGTATGCCAACTTTCAATATCGCATTTGAAAGCCTGACACGTGTCGAATATTCTATAATAATACTCTTGATTATGGACCGGCCTTGTTAAGCTATACCCAAACATTCCTTCCGTTAACGGTGGCAGATCGGCGACCGGGTTTGTCTTCAGGAACCGGGCGGTGCCTGACGAATTTCGTTCTGTTCCATTCCCGTATGACGGCGCGCGAAATTGGTAAAATTCATATTCCGCTTAATGCAGGAGAGTCAGTCTTAAGCACGACACGCCGCACCAAACAGCGCAGCACATACCTCCTGCCATAGCCTTATATCCTAGTTTTTCCATCGCTGCCGTCGCGCTTCTCAAGAGCCCGCGGGGACACGCTGAGATCGGAGCGTGCGTTTCTGGATCAAAAAAATTGACAAGGAAAAATGGTACATTGTTCTCCCACGGTATTCGCCTGAAGCTCTTCAAATCTGGAATAGCGTTCATATCTCGGTAACCATTCTCTTTATTGCTAATAGCCAGTTCCTTAAAGTATGTTTGATCGTGCATATCCCACCCAAAGATTACAGAGCAGAACCCGAACCCATCTTTGGCGATCGAGAGGAACTTCTTCTTGGAGACTAACTTTCCCCGTAGAATGCCGTCGGCGTCGATTCCGGCGAGCTTCACCTGTGTATCGCACGCCAGCACCGCTTCTAGGTTGTCAAGAGTGACTGTTCTGAGATCTGTATCCATAGTCATCTTGGTACCGGTGCTGGCAAGAGCTGTTACTCCTTCTTGAGGCATCGATGAACAGACTGATGGAGTTCAGCGGGGGTTTTATTCTAACCCAAAGCAAAATCACCGGCCAAGCCACGACCGAAGGATGTTTCGGAAGGGAATGGCTGAATTTAGCTCCAGGTAGGAAAGTTCTCGGAGCTCCTATGTAACTGATGTCGGCAGCGTGCCGAGTGGGATGCGCCCGTCCCCCGACCCATGCGACGGAAGCGTGGGGGGAAGCCAAGAAGCCGCTCTTATCTCTCTTATCGGGACCGCAGCCACAGGAAAACTTAAACCGGCCTATTGGCCCCGGACCCACCAGAATAGGGTTTGCGCTAACCCCGGACTCGGAGCGTCAGGTGACGTTGTCTCGCGCCGCTTTAGACTTGGATTCACCCGGGCCCTGAGATTCAACGCTGGCTCAACCCAGGTTAATCTTAAAGCTTGGATTTTGCCGCCGCCGATGGTTTTAGGCCCCACCGCTGCAGCCTATAACACAAAAGTTCTGTGGGTCGCTGGACTGCATAATGTTGTGTTGTGGAAGCTTGATGACGGAGCTCTCGTCCGAGCCTTTTTATGTCTGTCGTCCGCTTCCTGTCATCGTTGCTTCCACTCTCCTTTTATATTCTCAGCCAGAGTCACTTGAGGAGCCCAGCAGCGATTAAACAGCACAAGATAAGACAATCCAGTAAGCCAGATTCTCCCACCTTTTCACACAGAAGAGCAAGAGGACCCCCGGCTGTGTGTATGCTAACCAAACAGAGTCGGTGGAACTTAGAAAACCCCATCCGTATTTACAATGACAGCCCCAAGAGGACGTCTCCATGGCAAGAATGCCATCGTTACCGGTGCTGCAGGGTCCGTTCACTCCTGACATAGAATAAGCCACCGTATCTGCTGGCCGTTTTGAATGCTGGACTTCAACTTAACTGACAACATCTCACAGTGGCATCGGCCTTGAAACCAGCATTTTATTTGCCCGCGAAGGCGCCTCTGTCTTGATGGCTGATATCTCCGAGCCGGCTTTGGAAAAGGCCATCGCCAAAGTCAGAGTAGCGGTCCCCAACGCTCCTAGGTTAGAGACGGTGAAGTGTGACGTATCCAAGGAGTCGGACGTCCAGGCGATGGTTGACAGGCTAGACTCATGGGGAGGGTTGGATGTCATTTTCAACAATGCTGGTATCATGCATGCTGACGATGCCGACGCTGTCGATACACCAGAGAAGATCTGGGACCTAACACATAACATCAACGTGAAGGGTGTGTGGTATGGATGCAAGCATGCCGTTCTCAGCCTGAGAAGGAATAAAAAGACGAAAGGCAGCATTATCAACACTGCGAGTGTTGTTGCCTTAGTGGGAAGTGCAACTCCTCAGCTAGCGTATACTGCAAGCAAAGGCGCTGTTTTGGCCATGACGAGGGAGTTGGCTATCGTCCATGCCCGGGAGGGATTCAGATTCAATGCGCTATGCCCCGCACCTCTGAAGTATGTCGTATTTCGTCTAATACTCGGACCTTCTGTTGCACGCTCAGCCGTATTCTAACCTCACACTGCACAGCACCCCTCTTCTCCAGGACTGGCTCGGAGATGACGCACACAAGCGTATGAGACGGGAGATCCATTTCCCCACGGGTCGCTTCGGCGAAGCCGTTGAGCAGGCACAAGCCGTGCTGTTCCTTGCCAGTGACGAGAGCAGTTTCGTCAATGGTTCCGATTTTGTGGTCGATGGTGGTATGACGAAGGTATACAAATGGATTACAACGCTCTTATTCGGTTTGAGTAAAAGTAGACTAACGCATCGACTGCTAGGCCTATGTGACACCAGAGGGGCCCCCAACGGAAGCTCCAAAGAGCCTTGCCTCGTGACCGGCTTAAAGGTGTTTCGGGAAAATGGGTAGCTAATTAGAATGGTCCGTTGCCGCGAAGCCCAGAATGAATACTGTGATTGAGCGTATTTACTCTGTCCTCCTGGGAGTTTAAATACTTCCGAGTTCTCTGTACGAGGTAACGTAGGATTCGATCATAATCTTCTACTTGGCCTTATGACGGATCGAACGGATGGGATCGCTACTTGACCAATCCGACGTAAGCCACTGTTACCTCTCGAAGACATGTTGGTAACCTATTCTCCAAATGTAGGGCTATCTCTCTTAGCATATACAAACCTAGCAATTCTCGCTGTCTACGTTGTTCAGTTGCGTGTAACTTCGAAGAAATTGCCGGACCTAAGTCCTTTTTTTTCAATTACTCAGAATCCCAAGTCAAAGGAATCGGGGAAACGATGAGTCATCTCGAAAGCATAAAACACTATGCTACAGCAACACCCACCTGAGCCAATGGTCTCTTGTATATTTACATATACGTACATACATAGGCCGGTTGTTGCACCACAATCGCCAAACGCCACAAAGAACAGGCTTTGTTGGCTCGCTCATCATAAAGGCCCGGACCGCCGCAACATGTCACACTATGCAGCCGTAATCAAGATAGGTTCCAGTGTTGATGCTCCACTCTTATCATCATAGTTTCAAGCCATGAGAGGGCTAGGGCATACATAGATGGCTAGAAAGAGGGGAATAAGAGTCTATAGAAGAAAGGAATTCAAGGGTGCCCCCGGATAAGGGAGGTCATGCATTTGCTCTCCACCCGGTACATTGAAAACAACTCACTGCAGCCCTGATGTTAGGGGAAGCCAGCCTCTTCTTTTAAAGATGAGGCTAGCACGAAGCGGTGAACGACAGGCCTTGCGGTCATATTCCAGCCCCCATTAGCAATGCGAAGTACGACTTCAGTGTAACAGCCGCGGAGCTCACATCATCAGACAAGCGATAGCCACTGGTGCACCCCATCCTTGCCTAGAGTGGTCGTGATGAACTTAGTGTGGATTTACACACTAAATCAAAACTCATTTACACTTGCTCTGGGCGTCTGTGGTACATGTACATACCCTAGACACAGTGCACAAAACAAGACCTTTTCTTTTCTAGTGACAATAGGATGTTTTACTAACAGGTGGCAGAATTTCCAGTTCGTCGTGAGAATGTTGAGGGTTTGTCGCGAACATATGTAAGTCTAAAGAGTTGGCGGCCTTGGCAACGACAAATCCGATATTAGGAGATATCCTGAAAACGTTCATATTAAATCCCAGCCTCGATGGAAAGAGCTCATCGCTGCCGAATGTTTCAACCTTTAGCTCTTTAAATGTAACTGCAAACTCAACAATACAAACATCCATAAAATTCTAACAAATATGCCTTCTCCGCTTCAGAATCCCGGCGGGTAGGACGCGATATAGGAGTTCCTTGGGATGTCCGAGATCGCTGGGGACTTGGTGCACTCATTCCTGTGCTCTCGAAACACAATGCACGAACCAGTTTTGTTTTTCTTGTACTTCTTGACTCGCTTTAATATACCACTCCAGCTGTCCGACAGCCGTCATGTAGCGAAGGAGGCGCCCATAATCTCAATACTATCGCAGTTATCATGATCATAATTGGTTATTCCCTGCGAAGGGCCCGCATAAGATGATGCTGCTTGTCATGCTGATGCCGAATTTTTGAGTCTATCAAATCCTGCCATAACAATTAGGGTTCAAAGTCAGTGGGCTGCCGTTCGTCTAATTAAATCTGCATCTCGTACGAAGTTCTCTGTCCTGGATCAACGTCCGCCGAACTAGGTACGGAGTAGTTTCCAGATATATGGTGAAGATTAACTGGAATGTCATTCCCGAAGAACAGAGGCAAGGAACAACCTCCGGAACCTCTTCCATCTAACGCTCGTACTTGCGTTTCACAATGGCTAATGCACACCACTGAGCGCGATGCTCATGCGGCCGTATGCACACACGTGTTGAAATATGGGGTTCACAGAGCCACGCATGGCCGTAGGTCACGGCGAGGACCTATTTTCTAAGGATCACATTTAAAAGAAATTGTCAGCCTGTGAGACTGCATGCTGGAGGGCTTCAAAGCTCTCGTATTTTTAACGATAGAACTCCCCTCAATGCGAGCAATAACAGGACCGGGAAAAAGCAAACAGGATGCCATCAAACGACGAGAAGTGGTGCTCGGATACCATCGCTATGGTAAATCCCGAACTGGCTTTATTTAGAGATATGTTTCCTGCAAATAAGGAAAATAGCACCTTGGAGACTGGCGCCGGAAGCTTGAGAGTTGAGTCAATCGACCTTGAGGTAGAGAAGCGGGTAGTGAAGAAGCTGGATTGGAGAGTTATGCCGTTACTCTCAGCTTTGTGTATACCCCCCTCGAAATGACATTTGCGACGGGTGCCAGAGGCTAACATCATTCACTAGATCTGTTGAGCTTCTTAGATAGGACAAATATCGGCAATGCCCGAATTGCCGGGATGGAAAGTGACCTCCGGCTCAATGGGTCTCAATACACCTGGCTCTTGACTATATTTTATATTTCATTTATCACATTTCAATTCCAAGGCGTCATGTGGAAGATCATTCCCCCGCACATATGGGCCACCATTGTTGTCTTCGGTTGGTTAGTTTAAAACCTTCAGGCAAATTTCCCAAGCACGGGCTAAAATTCATAGGGGGTTATTTGCGACTTGTCAGGCAGCTGTCCATTCGTGGGCCGGCGAGATGGCATTGCGCTTCCTCCTGGGGGTCGCAGAAGCTGGCTTCAGCACTGGGATTCCCTACTTACTTTCATTCTTTTACCGTCGACAGGAGCTTGGGCTGCGCTGTGGGCTTTTCCTTGCCGCTGCGCCTGTTGCAAACACCTTCTCGGGTGCCTTGGCCTATGCCATTACATCTGGGAAATCTAAAATTGCTCCCTGGCGGCTACTCTTTCTCGTGGAAGGCCTGCCAACTATATTGATGGCACCTATAACGTTCTATTTCCTCCCGGACAGCCCCAGCAAGGCACGGTTTCTGAACGAGGAAGAAAAGAAAGTAGCAGAGGCTAGGGCCGTCCGGCAGGTTGGCCGGGTTGATCGTGTGGGCAACATGGACTGGAAAGATGCCTTCTCTGTGCTTCGTGATGTGAAGTTGTGGTGTGGTGTGGTGAGTTTGAGACCCTCTTAGGCGACTCCTCACTTGCTGATAAATATCTACCTTTCGGGCGCAGCTTATATACTTCAATTTCGCTATTAGCTATGCCTCACTTCCTGTGTTTCTTCCAACTCTCCTTGCAGATATGGGGTTTACCGCAATCGATGCACAGGGCTTGACAGCTCCCCCGTTTTTCCTGGCCATCCTGGTGACAATCGGGACCACATGGGCTGCTGATAGGCTCCAGCAGAGGGGCATCATAGTTGCCATTCTTTGTCTTGTGACAGTCATTGGATACGTCCTTCTCGCGGCATGTACAAGCGTGGCAGCGCGGTACGCTGGGGTATGGATTGCTTCTTGCGGTCTATTCGCGGCTGTTGCAAATACTACCCCGTGGCTTTTGAGTAAGATTCCCATTGCCGTGAATTTCAAAAGGGACACACCAACTCGTATGCGGGATACCGACGGCTAACATACCCAAGATAACCAGGGATCAGATAACCGCCGCGGAATGTTATCTGTCGTTTTGAGTCTTCTTGGTCAGAGTGGTACACTCTTGGGTACAAACGTGTTCCCGGATTCGGAGAGACCTCGATTTATCAAGGGCCAGACAATCTGTGCGGCTTTCGTGATGTTCAATTTCGTCACGGTCGTGGGATTGAGAACTTTGCTTATTTATCAGAACCGGAAACTCGACCAGAAATATGGCACTATTGAGCAGCATAGAAATCGCCAGGATCAAGAGAATGCGATCCTGGTTGTTGCCGAGGAAGATTACGGGCCGAACTTTCGATATGTTCTTTGAACTTTTCGTTTTTCTCGAGTCCCATTACCCGGCGTTGATGCCTAGAATTGGCATATATTGATATACCTGACGCTAACCGGTCGCTTCGAGTCGAGTCACGCGTAGAAAGTTGGGTATAGACAAAAGAATTGGGCCTATCAACCCCGTTTGAATCGGTTACCTTGTAACTAAAAGCTGCAGAAACTTGCGAATAAAATGGTTGAACGGCGCGGTCCAACTTTGAAAGAAAACAATGGAATGACTCCGGTATTTAGCATATTTGCTTGATTGTCAGGTTCCTGGAGACCCAAGCATCGGGCGCAAAGTGGAAGAAAATATCTACGTGCTGTGTATTGCCAATATCCGTATACAGGCTTCAGGGCAAGGGTAGTCGTGTAAAGGGCATGGACACCCGTTTTTGGTCACGCGAAAAAAGGACGCTGGGTAGCGGTACTACCAGACCACCTGTGTGGTAAGTTTAGCACAGTTTGGGGGGTTTTATTGGCTTGCTTGTTCCTATATCTAGCAGCGTATTCAAGGATTTGGGTCACCGCGACGATGGTTCGTAGGTGGGCGCTCCTTTGCTCATTGCTAGATGCGGAGAATCGGTAGCGCGTCGAGCCACACATAGTTTCATGAAGCAGACCCGCCAGACGAGCTGCACTGACAGTATAATGTTACAGGGGTACACACATCTGGATAATTCTCGCGACAGTCTCCTGATGGGACCATAGGGCTACGGGTAGCATAGGACACGAAAGGCTGATGATCCAACATCTTGCGCGAATGAACTTGCGGTGTAATGTGCAACTATGGAGTCCGAGATTATGGAGGAGATCCTCAGGCGAACAATTGCTGCATAGTCTCAGCAATGAAAGAGAGAAGAGAAGCAGCAGGTCAGTGGCGATAGGAAGTTCTTCCCGAGGGCAGCACCAGGTAGTAAAACGGTTCCTGAGGTAGGGGACTGTTGAAGCTGAGGGAGAGCAGGAGGGCAACTTCCGCCTGTTCCCATGCACCCTCGGCCCGGCTATCGAACCCATCTGGTACCGCAGGCGTTTCAGCGACGTTGCGCTGGACAAAAGGCGGCTTCACGGACGGTTTCGAGCGTCGCGAGCAGAGGGAATCCACGTGACCTGACTGGGGCTGGGCATGCCAAGCCCCTTCCAGAAATGAGAGTTACGTATCGCATCTACCAGAATCGGTTAATTCGCTCTCAGCCTCCCTTTCATCATCATCATCATCATCATCACTTCAACTTTCACCACCACCGCCGCCGCCGCCCGCCCGTCCAGCGCTATCTCTACTCCCTGCCACCACGACGCCCTCTGCCATCTTTTGCATCTGGCCGGCGATATTCGACCGCGAACGTCGTCCCTCAAGCACTCGCGTTTTCCCGTTCGCATCACACCTTCGCTTTTGCGTCCGCCACCTGCGTCTAACTCGCTATCTTTTCGTCTCTCACCATGGCTGACCGTGACCAGCCCTACGATCCCTATATCCCATCGAATTCCAACCAAAATGGAGGAGGAACAAGCGGGAACCAGAGAACTGCTGCGTTGCAAGCGGTATGTCGACCCCCATTTTTCAAGATCTGCTCTTTTGAGTCCCTAGCTTTGTTCGAAATCCCAACTTTGATGGGTCGGGCCACGCCGGATATCTCGCAATAATTCTCTGCAATTTCGGACAATGATCAACGGAAAACGCGAAATGCGATTCCGGTTAGATTTTAACTCTAGCAACGAAATTTCAGTGCTGTTGCCCGTGACGATGCTGACATGTCTCTTTTCCTTCAGCAAATCGATGATACCGTCGGAGTGATGCGAGAAAATATCAACAAAGTCTCACAGCGTGGCGAACGTTTGGATTCGCTTCAGGACAAGACGGACAATCTCGCTGTTTCCGCTCAGGGCTTCCGCCGCGGTGCCAACCGGGTCCGTAAGCAGATGTGGTGGAAAGACTTCAAGATGCGGATATGTTTGATTGTCGGAATCATCCTCCTGCTGGTAGTCATTATTGTCCCAGCTGGTACGCTCCCTCAAGACGTTTATGTCACCAATTTTTTTCCTCTAGTTACAACGTTTGCTAACTGTGATTTTAGTCGTTGCGACCAAGGGGAAATGAGTTTCCCGTTTCCCGTATCTTACCCTGCTCTTCCCTTCTCACCGCGCTTCAATAAAACCCCACCGTTACGATTTACATAAAGATTTCAAAAAATCTGCTCTTAGCTACGGTGCCTGCGACCTTCAGTGCGTGCGCGGTTCCCCTCGCTCCCTCTTGTCCTCTCTTGCGCTCTCATCTTTCCGGTCCCTTTTCTGCCCCTTTATAATTGAGCTACGAATCCTCTGGTGTTTTTGCTTTAGTTCCTCGATCACGGGTCTAGCTTGGGGAAATGGGCCTTGTAAATGATACTCTGGTGATTGTAACTGTCGGTTTGCGATGCTTCTGCTATAGGACTTGTTTTAATGACTCATTAGCTTTCATTGTGTGCTCCATTCACCAAGGTATGCCATTGTTATCATGTTTCGGGATGTCAATGGTTGATTCCGTCGAAAGAAGGTCAGATAGTTCATCCAGTAGCACACTCGTCGATGCAGCGGTAGCTCTGGCCGCAGATGAACAAATTTTTTTTTCACTAGTTATTGCTGCTTTAAAGAGAAAAGTTAAGTAGATAATAATAGTAGTAAGGTTGCTGGCCAGGCCGCTTAAAATCGATTTCATGGCAGCACAGTATGGAGTTACCAAAGTTTGACGAGTCTAGTCACAACCACCTTAGTCACGAACTCGCGCAAATTTTCTTTTTGTCACGAGCATTCCCGCATGCGTCAATAGTACTCTCGGTGTTGCCTTACTTTTTCAAACACAATCGAATCCTCACGGGCTGTACATGATCAGGAGGTCTCTCATTTAGTTGACAGAGCTGCCGCATGTGGGCTGAGAAAATGCTTCCTGCTCGTCTCCTTGTGCGGGGAGGCGTCCGAACCGCGAGGCTCGGCGTCGCTACTCCTCTGATCAAATTGTCTGCCACGGTCCCCTGCCTGGGATCTCAACGACGAGGTTACGCCCCAGGTTCAGCACCTTACCTTTCCACGCGCTCCACCGTTGTCCAGCTCTTAAGCAACATTGGCTCGAAGCGGGAGGTGCAGCAGTACCTGTCTCATTTCACGTCTGTTTCATCCCAGCAATTCGCGGTCATCAAGGTCGGCGGTGCGATTATAACCGAGCATCTGCAAACTTTATCCTCTGCCCTTGCATTCCTGAACCATGTCGGCCTCTATCCTATCGTCGTTCACGGTGCGGGCCCACAGCTGAACAAGCTGCTTGAAGCTGCGGGCGTTGAGCCGCAGTTCGAAGATGGAATTCGGGTTACGGATGGGAAGACTCTGGCCTTGGCCAGGTCACTCTTTTTGGAGGAGAATCTAAAACTGGTGGAAGAATTGGAGCGTCTGGGCGTGAGGGCAAGACCGTTAACCACCGGCGTGTTTTCGGCGGATTATCTGGACAAGGAGAAGTACAACCTGGTTGGAAAGATCAATGGTGTGAACAAGAAGCCAATTGAGGGGGCTATCAAAGCCGGATGCCTCCCAATCCTGACTTCTATGGCGGAGACTCCGGACGGTCAGGTTCTCAATGTCAATGCCGACGTTGCTGCTGGTGAATTGGCTCGAGCTCTTCAGCCATTGAAGATCGTGTACTTAGCCGAGAAAGGCGGGCTCTTCAACGGTGATACTGGCGAAAAGATCTCTGCTATCAATTTGGATGAGGAATACGACGATTTGATGAAATTATGGTGGGTTCGCCATGGCACGAGACTGAAGATCAAAGAGATGAAGGAGTTGCTCAACGACCTTCCGCGCACATCGAGTGTCGCCATTATCCACCCTGCAGACCTTCAAAAGGAGCTATTCACGGATTCAGGAGCTGGTACTTTGATCAGAAGAGGAAACAAGCTCCATATCAAGTCGTCTATTGACGACTTTGAGGATCTACATACCCTACGAAATGCCCTCGTTCGTGATCGCGAGGGCTTGGACGCCAAGGCAACCGTTGACAGATACATCCAAGCTCTGCGAGGCCTTGAGTTCAAGGCTTATTTCGACGAGCCTATGGACGCTCTAGCAGTCATTTTGCCTCCGAAGAAGGGCTCTTCTTTTGCTCATCTATCAACGCTTACTATTACCAAGGCTGGCTGGCTCACTAATGTCGCCGATAATGTGTTCTCCAGCATCCAAAAAGATTTCCCTAAGTTGGTTTGGACCGTGAAAGAAGACGATGAGAATTTGACCTGGTTCTTTGATAAGGCCCAGGGTAGCCTTAACCGTGATGGTGAGGTTTTGTTCTGGTCCGGCGTCAACAGCCCTGAAGAAGTAGGGGAGTTGGTCCATGAATTCAGCAAGCGTGGAAGCGACATGTTTGGGGATATCAACCTTGAACCCAAACTCCCAACGTCCGCCGGCGGTGGTGCGAAGTTGGCTGCTGCTCAGCAGAAACGAACGTTCTCAACTAGTGCCAATACGAGTGCTCTTCGCTCGTTCGGGAGCCAAAAGTTTCGAGCCAATACTCAGTCAATTCGGAGCTATACCACGACAAACCCAAATCCTCCCCTTGGAAAAAAGAACGCTTCCAATACTCAGCCATCCCGAGTAGCTCTTATTGGTGCTCGTGGCTACACTGGTCAGGCTCTCATCAACCTTCTCAACAACCACCCATACATGGATCTCCGGCACGTGTCTTCCCGTGAATTAGCCGGAAAGCCTCTTCAGGGCTATGACAAGCGACCCATTACGTATGAAGAGCTCAGCCCCGACGATGTCAAACGCATGGCAGAGCAGGGTACCGTGGACTGCTGGGTCATGGCGCTCCCAAACCTTGTGTGCAAACCATACGTCGATGCTATCAACGAGGTCGATAAAGAGAAGGCGGTGATTATAGATCTTAGCGCGGATTATCGGTTCGATAGTACCTGGACATATGGGCTTCCGGAGTTGGTTAACAGAGGCTCCATTGCGCAAGCCAAGAGGATTGCAAACCCAGGATGCTATGCCACTGCCGCTCAGCTGGGTATTGCGCCATTGGTGCCCTTCCTAGCTGGCCAGCCAACGGTTTTCGGTGTCTCTGGATATTCTGGAGCTGGAACCAAGCCTAGCCCAAAGAACGATGTGGCGAACTTAACCAATAATATAATCCCGTACAGCTTGACAGATCATATCCATGAGAGGGAAGTTAGCACACAGCTCGGTGTTGATGTTGCATTCATTCCTCATGTTGCTGTTTGGTTCCAGGGTATCCATGTACGTATTTCACCTTGTTTATTTTTCAGGTTCTTGCTGACTTATCTGCCCATAGCAAACCATCAGCATGCCACTGAAGGAATCAATGACGTCGCGTGACATTCGCAACCTCTACCAGGACCGATACGCAGGCGAAAAACTGGTCAAGGTGGTTGGGGAGGCACCTGTTGTTAAGGATATCGCCGGTCGTCACCATGTTGAAATTGGGGGATTTGCCGTCCATTCGAGCGGCAAGAGAGTTGTTGTATGCGCAACGATCGATAACCTCCTGAAGGGAGCCGCGACCCAGTGTCTTCGTAAGTTTATTCTACTTTCTATATTTACTGTGGCGAAAGACGGACTTGCACTAACGTTTCCTGGTAGAAAACATGAACTTGTCACTCGGTTACTCGGAGTTTGAGGGCATTCCCGAAGAGAAGTAGATGGCTTCCGTGTATTCTGCCTTTCCAATAAGTTGATATGAATCGTTGGCACTAGACTTTCAAGATTTCTTTTGCTTTCTGCACTTTATCTTTGGCGCCCCTTTTCTATTTGTCTTGTGCGCATATGGGCACATACCCCTGGAGTTTTTATTATTGTACTATCGGTTTTGTGATGCAGGCTAGACATGTGTCCAATGTTATCTTCTCGGCGAGATTCATATTGGCTACGACTAAGACTTGCTTTCAGCTGTCTCTCTTGTCAGAATACGTACCTGAAATTTTGCATACAGAGCTAATAAACAGAGCTATATTGAGTGAATTTAAGATCCTGCTTGCTTATACTTCCATCAGTTGAACATGCGGATATGTTCTGGCGACACCTAGGAGCCTTGCATTCGGGTTTGCCCTGCTTCAAAGCCTTTTCACTGAACATCATCTCCTGCCTATCCACTACGGAAGATCTAGTGTATCTACCAGCTCCCCATCCTCCTCCTCTATCTCTCAGGACGTCCTGGATGCTTGAGCCTTACCGACATCCCCATGACTCTCACCTGATCAGGCCTCCAATTCCTCTCTCCCCTTCCCTTTTCGGTATGCGTGTTCCACCGCGCTCACGGGACTCACACGCTCTCCTCCTCGCGTCATCCACACAATGCCTCACCTCAGCTGAACCGCATCCTCTCCCCTCAGCGACTGTTCGGTCGGGACAATATAACACTAACCCTCTTATATGGCTTTTCTACGTTTATATACATAATATATCCAAGAGGTAACTATCACTTTAAAATTTACATCGCTTTATCAGCAATTTGAGAGTGGCGAGGGGGAGAAAGATGTTCTATAGCCATGAGGGTGAGCTGTCTTTTGAGAAAAGATACCCATCTGTATTTTAGACATGGAGAGCTTTCTTGCTACCAGCAAGGAGAGAATAGTAGCTAACAAGAACTAAAACGGATATAGTCCTGACTTCGCGCGAGCATGGGGTTGCTACAATCTGGTGAGGACACCCCCCCACCCCCCCCCGGGGAAAAAAAAAAAAATTCAGTCCCCCCATCACGTTTTCGCGGTTTAATATAGTCGGAATATAAGCTGTTTTGATATCATGTGTTGATACAGATGTCGAATTCCGTTTAGGCTCGTCGCAACCCTCGGATCTAAATCGTCAGCTAGAAAAATAAACCGTAAAGCAATCCTTGATGTGGACGTGCCTAAGACATGTGCGATGATTATACACCCTGAGGCACCAATGGCTTTAAGATTGCAGGGGAACTTGCTGTATTAAACTTTTGCATCCCTCGGTAAAACATATATCACTATGCTGTGAAGCTGACTTGAGGTGGATATCCTGCAGCTATGGCGTTTCGAAGGTCTATAATCAACAGTGCGGTTATATGCTCATGGATGCGCAGGTCGTCAGAGACCGAATGACGATGATGCTGAAGGCCGTCCACCGTGGTGGACTGGATCCGGATGCAGGGAAAGCTAGGTAAGCCTGGAAATCCGTACTGTAAATTAGATCGCTGACAGGGCATTAGGCAAGACCAGCTTGTCCTGCCCGAAGATCCGACGTTCGTTCCGAGGCTTATGCTTCCCGGCTTGAATCTCGATCTTTCAGCCTTGGAGATCGCAGACGTACTAGAGACTCCTCGAAAGACGTCGGACTTCCTCTCGAGCTGCCTGGACCAGTCAAACAAATCGAGTCTCTATTTTCAAAAACAGCATCAACTGGATCTCTCATCTTCACAGGCTGGACCCAGTGTCATTGGCGGCTTTGGGCTACCAAGCGAGATGGACAGCGCAAGTAAGGGACCTCAGGTGGAGCTTCCAGCTTATCTGGGGGCCGAAGAAGGCGTGTTACTAGAGCCGGGCTTTGAATTTGATGTTGAAGGGAATATAATTGAATTGCCTGTGAAAGGAGATGCGGACCACGTGGTCGTTGATGACATTGAGGAGCACAATTTCGATGTTGAAATGGCCGGAGCCAACCAAGAAGGCTTTCAGGTAATTCGGGACCAAGAGCAATTATGTCCGGGTTAAATATATTTTCACTAACATGGTTGCAGTTCGAAGATTTGCCTATCAACGAGGATATGAGAGACCTACAAGACCGGGAGGCGACGTTACCCCTTGCCGAATCACCATCCAATCGCCCTTGGCGCATAGGTTTCGAGCCCTCAACAGCAAACGAAGATCGTCTCAGTCAGCAGGAAACAAGAGTGTCGTTGAAGAAGAGACGCTTTAGAAATATGGAAGTAGACGACTACCCAGAACTCATGAATTCTGACTTAGCCCAGTGGAATTTCGAATACGCCCAGAACATGGAGGCTGCTGGCAAGGTAAAGGAGACCAATAAATTGGTTACAATTGCAAAGAAGAACGCTGCATTCTGTGTTCTGGAAGCGGGAATCGCAGCGGTCGGTTTAGGACTGGGAATGTCTCAGGTTCCTCACCCGTTAGACACTTTTTGCGGTAGTCGACTGCTGAGTGCGTTGACGGGAACTGAGATCGAAGGCACTCGACGTAAACGCAACCACAATGCAGCAAGTGACAGCGATTCGGATGACTTTGAAAGAAACGTGCGACACAAGGTCGGAGGTGAACCTAGTCGCGAGGCAAGCGTTGAACGCGGTGTCGTGCAATTTGACGTAAGTCCAAAGGCTGCGGTTATTGCTTCTTTTCATGGCTGCGATTGAGTAGACACTCATAATAGTAGGATATCGAAATGGGCCGACACGCACCCCCAGCGCTTCAAGATGACATGTCTTCGCAAATGCCCTGGAATATCACTGCATCGGTGCACAGTTCACATCGAGGCTCGTCTGTCGCCGTCGGGCACTCTGGAATTAGCGGTATGAATTCCACATTCCGCTCTGGTAAAGATTCCCTGGTTCCCCATTCAGCCAGTGGCCGCAGAGGCCGACTAACTAGCGCGAGTCCACTCGCTGGCCGCGGGGTGATGCGGAATGTTTTGCACGGCCTTTCTCTCCAGGACGAGGACCTCGACATGAATGTGTTCGCTGACATCAATATGGAAAGCTTTGCTGGAGACGCCCATGGTGGGCCAATCAGTAGAATGAGCACCCCAGCAGCGGCCAGGGATAGGCCAGCGGAGCCAGAGTGGTTTCTCAGCAATCTTGATCAACAGAGTCTGAATTTTCTCGAATACGTAAAAGTTCGAATTGGGAACACGAGTGGTGGTGCTTCAGATGGAGACTGTGAAGATGGAGAGGTTTCCTTTTCCACTCTTGTGCCTGCAGGTTCGAGCAGTCGGATCGTTGCGACCCAGGGACTCCTCCACGTCCTCATGTTGGCGACCAACAGGGTGTTGCGTGTGCGCCAAGAGGTCGTTGCGTTTGCCAGGGGATGTGACGACGCCGGAGAGATTTTTCTGTCCCTGGACGGTTGAATCAGGCTCGCGAGATCAAAAAATGGTTATCAACCGAAGCATCGCGTCGTGTCTTTGGTCCAAATTGTTCATTTCGATCTTAGATTTCACAGGCGGAAGGTTGATTTGTTCCTTGACGTCAATTTTAGCCTCCTGCGGGAGGTACCCTGATAGTTACCAGAACTTGCCGTGTCATTTAGTTACTGCAGCTTATCATGAGTGTTATCCAATTCGAGGTCAGTTTGTTTTATGACAAGTATCTCGCTGCTCCGTGCTCCGTGCCCGTGTGCGAGGCCCGTTTGTCTCCTCAGCCTGTCCCTGACGGCCGGCGGTGTCTGGTCGCTGCGTGTTTCACCACCCCCAGGCGCAGTGGATAAGGGATGACGCACTGCCACAATACATGACGCGAGCGATCGTCTCGGCGGGCGCTATGTAATTTACTTTCAGGTGGAATACACGGCTGGCCCCGTCGGCTGGCTGTCGGATTTGTCTCGCCGCCTCGAAATCTTGTAACGGCCGTACCTAGTCATTTGGTCACAGATTTCCTTTCTTGGCAAGACAACGCCAGCGGGTGAATCCAGCCATCATGCTGCTTGCTGCTGAAGATTCTCAATCCTCAACCATCATTCCGCATCCCATCGTCAACTCCTGGATGCCGTGAGAATCGCAGTCTGCTCTTCTCTCTCGCTATTCACTCGTTTAGTTTGCTCTGTCGGTTTTCTCCTCTCGAGTCCGTTTCCACCGTCTCCGGCCCCCTCACTCCCAATCCCCCCCCTGATCGCCTTGTTTCCCCACAACTTTTCAACAGGTTTTGAAGACAGATCACGGCGAATTATCACTGCTTCTCTGATTTTCGACCGTATGCCCTTCTAGATCCTCGCTCGCTTTTCCCGGAGACCTCCTTTGTCCTCCATTCCGCCGCCCTCCGGACGTCCATTCGATCTTAGATACGAACGACGATCGTGTTCCCTATAACTACTCCTCGCCCCGTCACTCACAGTACATGGTTGGATATATTGAAGACGACCCAAGATCTTGAACGTTCGGATACTGACTCGCCCTGGTGGCCTTCAACCGTGCCAACGCACCTTGCACGCAGCCGCGAGGATGATACTCCCTTCGCTTTTCTCCAATCAGCCAGGCCCACCATGTTCGGCGCTTTTCTTAACGGTGTTACTGGGAGTCCAAGCGGTTCATGCGGCCATTCCGCTGGACCTTGGCAGCCCAGGTAAGCTATTGACCGTTTTCTACTATATCATCTGGATGGGTCTTCTAACTACTGCCCGCTACAGACTCGATTAAGAGTGCAGCAAAGCAGATTGCGGGCGGAATGGTAAAATACTATACTGGATACAAACCAGGCGACGTTCCCGGCAACTTGCCCGATCCCTACTACTGGTGGGAGGCTGGAGCTATGTTCAGTGCCTTGATTGATTACTGGTACTATACGGGCGATGATCAGTATAACGATATCACAACCCAAGCTATGCTTCACCAAGTTGGGAAGGAAAACAACTATATGCCTCTTAATCAAACCTCGACGCTCGGAAATGACGACCAGGCATTTTGGGGCATGGCCGCCATGAGTGCCGCCGAGAACAAATTCCCCAACCCTCCGGATGACAAACCACAGTGGCTCGAGCTCGCCCAGGCTGTCCTGCATTCTCAGGTGCCCCGTTGGGACGACGAGACCTGCGGAGGTGGCTTAAGATGGCAGATTTTTTCGTTTAACAAGGGTTATAACTACAAAAACTCTATCTCCAACGGCTGTTTCATCAATCTGGCCGCGCGGCTCGCACTATACACCAAGAACGAAACTTATGTTGAATTAGCAGAGAAGCATTGGGACTGGATGACTGCTATCGGACTGATCAGCCCTACTTCCCAGGTGTTTGACGGGTCGGACGTGGTCAAGAATTGTTCTGAGCTCTCCCACATCCAATGGACCTACAATAACGGTGTCTTAATGGGAGGAGCCGCCGCGTTGTATAATTTTGTATGTTTTTCTTTTCTTTCTTTTCCGTATTACAGGAAGCTCTGCTTTTTTTACCGTTTCCAGGCTGACACACTCCACCTCATTGAACAGACAAAGGGAGCTGATATTTGGGAAAAACGACTTAATGGTCTCATCGATGCAGCTGGCATTTTCTTCTCCAAGGATCCGCCAGATGTTATGACCGAAGTGGCTTGCGAGGGCAACGGAAAGTGTAACATCGACCAACGGTCTTTCAAAGCCTACCTTTCCCGATGGATGGCAATGACGATCAAGCTCGCGCCGTATACGCGTGACAGACTGCTACCGAAGCTGCAAGCATCCGCCACAGCAGCGGCATTGCAATGTAGTGGCCCTGATAACGCGTGTGGTCTGCGCTGGACCAAGGGTGAGGCTTACGATGGCTCTACCGGCGTTGGAGAGCAGATGGCCGCGTTGGAGATCATCCAGTCGAACCTCATCGACCTTGTTGCAGGCCCGGCAGACAATTCCACGGGTATCAGCAGAGGAAACCCGTCCGCTGGCACTGGAAGCGACCCCACGTTCGAGCTTAGTGATATCACCACCGGCGATAGAGTTGGTGCTGGATTCCTGACAAGCGTGGTCCTCATCGGCATTCTTGGTGGGGCGTGGTGGATGGTATCTTAGAAAGTTAATATTTTCCTGTGAATATGTAACGAACATGTTACCTACCTTCTTTTTTTTTTCTCCCTGTGGCGCATTGTATTGTCATTGTTGCCTGTTCTTATGCTGCTTTTTACAAGGTATATTTTGGAAAACCGGGCTGGGGTTTTGTGGGATCTGATATTTCTCTTTCTCTTTTTTTTTCGTCCTCGCAAGGCTGCCGAGTATATGGGATTAAATATATCCACTTAATGTCTCTTTTTTTTTTCTTTTCTTTTCTTTTCTTTCTTTTTTTTTTTTTCCTGGCATTCGTATGTTCCGAGTGCTGATATTTCTGTCCTGTATATGTATTGGCTCTTGTCCACCTTCCCTGGGCGCTGCTCTTTATCAATGGTGTAATCAAGGTGTATGGCGAGTAGAGTGTTTACGCAACTTTTGAGTTGATTTCCAGCTTATAAAGAGTATCACGCCCGTTTCTTCCCTTCCCCCCCGCTCCCCCCGGGAAGGGGGGGGAAAACGCTAAAGCCCTCTTCCTTAGAAAGTATCTGGTATTGTAAGTAAGCAAGCTGCCAAACATATCGTACACACACATTCATATACATTCCAACACCGAATCTTTTGTCAATGGCTTGTGGAGTAGAATTGTTCTCCCCCTCTCTTGTTATGCTTATTTCAAAATACGCCAGACGCCCCGTCCAATGGCTTTCTTTTCCTTTCTTTTTGGTTTGATCGTTCAGAAACACACCCAAGGCGTGGAGCGCGAAGCGGCATGTGGTAATATACAACTTCGCCCTTCATTCATATCCCGATTCTAACTCTACCAACTCTTAGCGCACAAGTGGGTGGGGAGGGAGCGTTATTTAAATCCCCCTTTGAGTCATACTATCATACACCTTTCGGCATATATAGAGGAGGGAGGTCCCGGGGGGGAGGTCTAAAATTATCCGACGGTAAAAGGTGTTTTGCGCGGAGCGAGCCCTCTTTTTATTACTATTGCGTTGGCTTGTCCGTGGGAGTTTCGGCGGCTGCTTTCTTCGCGGCAAGGGCAGCCTCTCGTTGCTGTTTCTTCTGGAGCTCTTCGGCTTCTTTGGCGACGACCCAGACTGGGACAAAGGGAGAATATTCGTTAGTTTGGGGGGGTATTTAGCTTTTTTTTTTTTTTTTAAAAAAAAAAGACGAATGTAAGAGCTTTTATTTTCTTTGGAACGTACTGGGCTTGTCGGACTTGGAGTATTCTTTCAGCTTGGTGACGAATTCGTCGAATTCTTGCTGTCTCTTGTCGCGGTTTGCGAGGTTACGTTTTTGGAGCTCGGGGTTGAATCTCTGCGTGGTTAATAGGGTAAGATTAGCGCATGTCCAGGCCTATTCCTTTTTTTTTTTTTTTTTTTTTTTTTTCATTTTTCTTTTTCATATTCTCTTTCGGTGTTTCGCATATCTGATGTCTGCATTGCGAGCGAAGTGGGTGTCGACAAGGCTAGTTACCTGGAACAGCTCCTCTTCCGTGGGCCGCACGTAGTTCACGAACATCGGGCCGCCGACACAAATGACGGCTCCACTGGGGGTGGTTCTGACGTTAGCGACGCAGTAGCTTGAGTTTTGGGGAGGGGAAGGGGGGAAACGGATGCTGGCAGCTTACACCGTGATCATCTTGGTCCATTTCCACGCGGAGCCCATGGTTGCCGGGAGATGGAGGGATTTGGGGCGGCGTTGGACGGGGTTGAACAGCAGGCAGCTCTGGCTCTGCAGGCACACAATTGGCGCTGTGTCCTCTGGGAAGCTCTCTTAAGCTTGCGAACTCGCTGGACACCGCGGAATCAGCAAGCAAGTGAGTGAAATCTGCCTCGGAAATGCTTATCTCATATGTGTGGCTGCAACCCTGCCTGCGATTGCCTGTTTGAGTTACGTTTGGTCGAAAGGTCTCCCGGTTGTGGCGCAGGCGTGGCTTGCCCCTCCCACCTTTTTCATTTTTATTTTTATTTTATTTTTATTTTTTCCTTTTTTTAATTTTCCTTTTTTTTCCTTTTTATTTTCCTTTTTATTTTTCCTCTTTTTTTTTTTTTTTTTTTCCAGCGCGAAGAGCTCAACAAGCGGTGATGAGAGGACACATGCAGGGGAGGAGTCGGCCATCGCGCTTGTTGTCGGGGCCTGGAGCTCCGGAGTATCGACTCTTGTTGCCAGTCAATATGCGACGATCGCAGGACAACTGTGACGAACTAGCTGGCCAACCCTTGACCTTACTTATTCCTTTCAAACAGCGCATCTGCATACTCTCTGATCCTTTCATTCTGGAGCCCATCTTGCAACCTTGCAGCAAACATGAATTTCTTGACAGTTACAGGTAATACTACGGAGTATGGCGATGAGGACCCATTCCAAATTGATCTTTGAGGTGTTATCTTTTTTTTTTTTTTTCCCATGTAAGTAAAAAGCATGTAGTATGTTTGCAAGCGGTGATCCCAGCATATCGCCCTCTCCGCTACAAACACGCAGGTGAGATGGTTCGGGCATTTGGGGAAGTGAATGGCAGTAGGTACTCTCTCTTCTTTTCCTTTCTTTTCTTTTCTTTTCTTTTCTTTTTCTTTTGGGTATATTTCTGTAGTGCGCATGACTTATCTCGTGGGCCAACCATCCCGCAGGAGTCTGGTCGAACCACTGACGTCGCTTCGATCAGCGGTCAGTTCGATATCACGATCTGCAGACTCCTGCTTTGGTGACCGACTCCGTGCTGTTTCAGCGACGGCGAACTTGTCGCCAGGAGCGTTTCAAAAGAGACATGGACCGAACGACAAGTAGCTCAACAAAAGAATTTTTCCTTTTTTTTTTTTATTTTTTTATTTTTTTATTTTTTTTTGGGGGGTCCTCCCCAACTCCAAGTGTGCTCCGTACGGAGTACTCTGTACAACAAATGGAGTTTGCAGCATCGGAGGCGCGGAGAACTCCCGTCGACAGCCCTACCGACAGCCAGCGCGAGAGTGCAGCGCGATTGGACGCTTCGGCGGAAAGATGAAAGTGACACCAGCCACAATAGTCCGTGGATCGCGAATCCGCACGGTGGAGTTGGGGACTGACGGCGTCGGCCTTGACTTGGCTGATATCAGCGGGCGCCTCGCTGGAGATCAGCACCGCTGCATGGAGTACGCAGTGGTATAGTTAATGCTTAGTTCTAAGTACGCAGTAGCTTTGAGGGGGGGAGGGGGAAATCAGGAAGTCAGGCGTGCCGGGCCAATCTCTTCGGTGTCGTTATCTCATTCCATCGTAGCGGGTTAAGAGGCGGTTGACGGGTCGCAGGTTGTAGTTCGCCTGGCTAACTCGCTAATTCGCAAACTCAACCACGGCCGGCGCCTTTCGCCCTGGAGAACCTCCACTTTGCGTGCGAGAGAGCGGGGCCAAACTGTGCTGAAGGCCGGCCTCACTGCAGGTCTCCGCCGCCCGTTGTTTCCTGCACGGTCTTGTGAGATTTTTCTCTTCGTGACCTTTTCACCATCTTACCATCTCTCCTCTCCGTCTCTCTCTCCTCTCCGTCTCTCTCTCTTCTCTCTCTCTCTTTTTTTCTCTCTCTCTCTCTTCTCTCTCTCTCTCTCTTCTCCCTCTGTTGTCCATCATTACTTTCCTAGCCACAACTTCTTACAATTTAGTCTTTTTTCCCCGGCATTCGAAGCTTTCCAGAATCAAACTCTCCCCGGCAGTCCTTTTCCCAGGGTTGACGATTGGTCCGTCTCAGCCAGCAGCCTGCTTTAAGTTACATCCGAAGTCCAACCTTTCCCTTAAATCCAAATAACTCGGCGTGCCCCTGGTCCGCCCGGCGGCTAGGCCCGCCGTTCCATCTCCCAGCACAACGAAGCCTCCCCTTTTCGCGAAATTCAATTCGCACACGGGCTGTGTGTTTTGATTTGAATGTTCGAGACTCCGTTCTTTGCACTTTGAGAACTTGCGCACGTATTCCCGCTCTTTGTGTGTTGTCAGTCCATTTCGGGGCTTTCGGGTACGGGATATATGGAAATATGTGTGCCACCTGCGCTTCATCGTGGTGCTGATAATATTTATTCTTCTAGTAAATCTGTCTCGCACCCGCTCGTTCTGCAAAGCGGCCAAGCTAGCAACTGGCCACGCTCCCGTCCCTTCGCAGATAGGGCGACTCGTTTTAACGATCGAATCAGAGATATGGCGTACCCTCAGCGCCCTCCGCCACAGCGCGCCCCTCCTCCCGTTAGACAGTACGGCAACCGGCCACCGCCACCGCCGAACCGTGGATGGCACGAATATGGTCAGGGTGGTTACAATGGCCCTCAAGGAGCCGCTTATGATGAGTATGATTCATATCAATACGGCGGCCCCGAAGGATATCATGCGCGGGACGACTACGGACATTATGAGGCTCAGCATCGACAGAGGCCACCGCCGCCCCGTGGCCACCCTCCCCACGCGCACGAGTACAACGGCTATCCAAATCCCCAACGACGCCCTCCCCAGCCTGCGCCAAACAGACCGCCAAATCGTCCTCCACCTTTCCGCAACCCAACAAATGATGGTAGGTTGCCCGCGCCCTGAATTTGCTACTCAAATAAATTGACGCTCAGCATCGCTCTTCAAGGCATCGAGCCCGCCCCTAGATCCGCCAATTCTTTGAAAAACAGGCCGTGGGATAGTCCATTTCCAGCTTTCCCAACGAAGAAACGAGGAAACTCTTTTGACCTAGGCATTGAGCCAGGTATGGGAGCTTTGGACATCAGCGACGGGCCAGGCGCTGTCAAGCCTCCAGAGATGCGTCCACATACATCGAATTCTAACCATCAACGACCTCCCCAATATCACCACCATCAGGACCCACTTCCTCCCTTGATCACCAACCGTCAACCAGGGTGGCCCATTGCCGACTCTCCAGCTCAGGATTCATATTCAGCACCTCCTGAGCATGTCACGCCCGAGTTGTTGCCCCCTAAACGCAGTGCAACGATGCCAATGAACGCACCGCCCTCGACGGGCCAGCCAAGATACCCAGGACAGCAATCATGGCAAGAACCCCGTTCTAGCTTTGAGCAAGGAGGTCCCGGGGCCATCCCTCCCAGACCTGCAACCACCACCGGAGTAAAACCAGAGGCCTCTGCACCCCCGAGCGTACCTCCCGTCCCCGAGGAACATAACGCTGCCGCCGCTAGTAAAAGTGACGAAGATAATGACGACACTGACGATTTCTTTGACCACTATCTGGACTCTGGTGATCAGGAAACTGATATGCCCAACTTTAGTGCCATGGACAACTCTGGGGCTGGGGGATCTCGTGAAGAATCCCTGATACCTCAAGACAATTCCAAGGGACCTGATACCTCTCAGGCGGACCCCAAGCCAGCATATACCGCCTATCAGCCGCAAAATGGAATCATACAGCCGTACCGACCACCACCAGTGAGCCAGAGCCAATATGAAGAACCTGGGTACCAGTACGATCAACCTCAAATGTCTCCTCATTTCGCTCCACAAAACGATGGTTATGGCTATCCGGCGGACGACCCTTACTCGAGACCACCGGAAAATCGTGGAATGACCCCACGCCCAGGTCCAGGTCCAGGTCCAGGTCCAGGTCCAGGTCCGGGCTCGGGCAGGCCTGGTTATGCACCGCGGCCTCCTCCGAATCAATACCAGCAACCGATGCCTAACGATATTGGACGCCGGCCATCACTTGATTATAGACACGGGTACCCTAACCCCCAGGATATGCAGATGGGAGGGCGAGGGCAATACCCTCCTCCCGACGCCATTCCTCACAACCGCGTTCCCTTCCGTCCTGGCCTTGATCAAGCGTCGAAGCCGGCGCCGGTGAGACAGTATGACAGTCAGTCAGGTGTTGCGCCACAGCCAAGACCAGGTTCCACCGCCCCACCAGGCGCCGATCCGGGACATATCACCCTCGACGAGCTCAGACGACTCCAGCAAGCTGCTCGAAGCAATCCCTCAGATCACCAAACACAGCTACTCCTCGCGAAAAAACTAGTCGAAGCGTCTGTCTACCTCATCGACGATGGCGGTAGAGCCGACACCAAGACCAGAAACAAGAATCGCGAACGATATATCTTGGATGCCCACAAGATCGTGAAGAAACTCGTGAGCTCGGGCTACCCCGATGCCATGTTTTACTTGGCGGACTGTTACGGCCAGGGCCACTTGGGATTGGAGGTCGACCCGAAGGAGGCTTTCAATCTGTACCAGTCAGCGGCGAAACTGGGCCATGCTGAATCCGCCTACCGGCTTGCCGTGTGCTGCGAGATGGGCCACGAGGGAGGCGGAGGCACAAGAAGAGATCCCATGAAGGCCGTACAGTGGTATCGTCGAGCCGCCGCCTTCGGGGACACCCCTGCAATGTACAAGATGGGAATGATATTGTTGAAGGGCCTTCTGGGGCAGGCGAGGAATCCTAGAGAAGCGCTATCGTGGCTGAAGCGGGCAGCTGAACGTGCCGATGCAGATAACCCCCACGCGCTTCATGAGCTGGCACTCCTTTATGAGAATCCCAGCGGAAATGACGCCATCATCCGCGACGAAAATTACGCACTGGAATTGCTGCATCAAGCTGCAGATCTGGGGTACAAGTTCTCCCAGTACCGTCTTGGCGCTGCTTACGAGTACGGTCTCATGGGCTGCCCCGTCGATCCGCGCCAGAGCATCTTCTGGTACACGCGTGCCGCTGCGCAGGGAGAGCACCAGAGCGAGCTGTCGCTCAGCGGATGGTATCTCACCGGAGCGGAGGGCATTCTCCAGCAGAGCGACACAGAAGCGTATCTCTGGGCGCGCAAAGCCGCTGTAGCCGGATTGGCGAAGGCGGAATATGCGATGGGTTATTTCACCGAGGTGGGGATTGGCGTTCCTGCGAACCTGGAGGATGCAAAAAGATGGTATTGGAAGGCATCATGTAAGAAATATTCTTCCTCCAGACTTTTATACGTTGGAAATGTTGGAATGCTAACGGTTTCTTTTTTGTTCTTTTGCAGCACAAAATTTCCTCAAAGCCCGTGAGCGTCTTGAGGATCTGAAGCGTGGCGGCGCGAAAATGCAGAAGACAAGGGTATCGCGGTCAGCTGTCAGCAAGCAGCATCAGAATGATGCAGACTGTGTTTTAATGTGAATGACGCACACTCCGTAGTCCCGCAGTACCTTTAAGCCATTGTGAACAGTCTTTTTCGACACAACTGTTATTGGTTTCTCGCACTTCCCCTCAACGATAGACCTCCGGCAGGCCTATTTTGCTTTTTCCTCTTTTTCGGACCGCCTTTCAACATATCTACCTTTGGCAAACGTACATACATAACATCCCGTGCTGGATCTGTCTTCGGGTACTTTTCATTCGAGCGCGTCTTGAGTCCGTACGGAGCCCAATAACTTGTGTTACCCCTTTTTTGTTTTTTTTCTTTCTCCCTATTTTTACTCTGAGACGAAAATCTCGCATGCTGACCTGATCGAGCATATTTGAAGAAACAAACGAGTTGCATGAGGAAGTGGATACTAATGAAAGAAAATGCCGGGCCGGATATGGGTTGTAATATAGATATCACTCCGTGCAGACGTTGCCCATTATGAGGTCTCAATTAACGTAATCTATCGCTGAACCGATCACTTCTATACACATACAAAGCGCAATAACTTGCAGCATTTTTACGTTCATCTAGCGAGCAGGAATGATAATACGGACAGACAGATCGAATGTCATCTTTGGTGCCCAGTATTATAGCTTTCGCGAGACTTGACAATCCGTTAACAATTGTTTCATACGAGCTAAACTCGATCCGTCTGCTTAGGGACCACGGGCCACCTCATAAACATCTGAACGGCTATGTACAGGGTAAAGTATCCTCCAGAAGTCCCAACGCAGCTGATAATCTCGAGCTTGCGAGGGGCATGCCGGAATCAATAGAGGCGAAAAAAAAAAAGGATAACAGGAGCAATGTTGCAGTTCAGCATGATATCTAGCGCCTAGCTTGTTAGATGCCTTCTGAACCAGGCTCTCTGCCGTACAATCTTTGTAATCCGCTAAGACATCCAAATGTGACGAGCTATCAGCAAATTGAGCCCATCACGCACGGAGTGCTCATTCGAGCTTGGAAATGTCTTACCGGTCGCCAGGCCATTGCTACCCCCCCCCCCCCCCCCCCCCCCCCAACCCACCCCGCACCGCAGCGCCTTTCAACCGGAGTTGTGCGGAATAAGACTGAAGCCAGGATCATGACGACCGCCCTTGAGCCTCAGCACTCTCTCCTCCCCGCTCCTGAACTCCCCAACATACCAGTACAGCGGATTGTTTGGATCTGGTTGCTCGACCGGCTGGATGGTGAAACGTGCATTAGACCTGGCAATCACCTCGAAAAAAGATGACGCGCTTGGGGTGACGACCGCCTGCGCGCCGGCCTTGATCTCTGGGAAATGGATAAAACCGTCGGCTACCGGGTGTTTGATAGTGTACCACGAACGGTCAGAATCGACCCTGGTGAAGAGCCAATCTTTGTGCAGGCGTTGGTCTACCCTGTCGAAACCAACGCGTACGGTGGTCGAATTGGCAGCGGGAGAAGATATCGCGGTCTCGCCGAAGTAGTCCTCGAGAATGGAGAACAGTCCCTCAAGGCTTACGGTGTCGGCGGCGAGACAGCTCGAGAGGAACAGGAAGAAAAGATAGAGGATATGCATTTTGATCAGAGGAATGCAGTTCAATCCTGATGGGGAAATAATGGGAACTTGTGTGAATGCCTCTTGACTTATAAAAAGGGGAGGGACGGGCGACGAGATAGGAGCTTTTTATATCTGTCCATTACGAGGCGGATATGCAAGAGAAACCTCACCTTGAAGCCGGCCAGGGGATCTCGTATCGCAGGGGAGAGAGAGGTTCTCCGCGCCGGCCTCCGGGCAACGGTGGATTTGCCGCTCCGACATCTGCTTATCACTCAGGTTTAGTAAACCTCGTGCAGGCAAAAATCACAGATAATCCATGTAGGCTGTCTTTGCGAATGCATGCACACTTCAGACGACATCCGAGAGACCCGTACGGCGCCTTCATACCCAAGCGAAAGCCGATGAGAAGAGGGATAGTGAGTACTCAATAGCTTGCATAGGCAGCTAGCTTCTAATGTGTGCGTGGAGCACAGGAGAATGCTTCCCTCGACGGACGAAAGATACGACGAAGTTGTGAGAATAGAGGGCAACATTGTCTGTATGCCTGTAGAGAAGTGATATTTATAGCCATTGAGGAAAAAAATGCAACACAGCCCCAGGTGCAAGACATCGAGCAGCAGGGATCATTCGAGTGAGGTTCGTAAAACCCCTTGGCATCACCCCACCGTCAACCTGGCAGCGAGAACCTTCCAGGGAGGGACGATGAGAATGTCACTCTCCGCCTTCTCCAAGTCAAAGCGGCACCGGCACCCATCTGGAAAAGGCCGGAAGCTGGTGGAACGTCCATGTTCAAACCTTGGGAGATTGGAGAAAGGTAGCCTTCATCGTGCTGATGACTGGGCCGCGGGCAGCAGGAGGCAAGGCTGGGCTGGACCGTATCTGATGGCAGGGCTGGTGATTGCATGACCTACTTGTCATACTCCTTCCAGCCATATGGAGTGAATGTCGGATGCCAGACACTCCAAACGGATTGGATAAGACGATGCAAAACAATGCAGATATCTCCTGGCAAGGTAATAATCCTGTAAAAATAAGTGGAAAGTTTGAGGGAAAGTTTTAGGAAACAGGAAAGCTACCATGGAAGATGTGAACCGTCACAGGTCCGGAGTGCCGGAGAAGGAAAGCCAGAGCCGGTGATTTATTCTGAGCATGGAACCGCTCTTGTGCCATGGGATTCAAAGCAAAACCAGTCTTGCGATATGATCGTTGTAGGAATTAGTTCAAATAGCTAGAGAAACAAAAGATTTAGTTGGAAGTTCCGACACAGGAATTTCTAAAGGATTTGGAATACAAAGAGATCAACTAATCCATAGGAAATGGGCAAACAGGCTCCATTGTCCTAAGATCGACCTAGGTATAATGGGTACCTAGATGTACACAGGCCAAGATGCAAAGAAGCTAAGGGACAGAGTGGTTGGACCAGAGATCTCTTTATCCCATTGCAGACACCGAGTTCGGTCCTCTACGTACCGATATATGTACTATATGACTTCTAACATGGTGACGTTCGTAACCGTTCATCCATAACAGATTCTTGGATACTGTCGCGACAGGGGCCTCCAAGGGGCAACGTTTGCCAATACCACCCCCCTGTCCGACGCGATCGGCCTTGCAGCCGTCTCAGGTGCAGGAGATGAGAGTAGTACGCTACTCTGTGGTAATATGCTGCAAGGCAGGACCCAGCGTTCGCACTCTTGAACGACTGATGGTGTGATCATCTGGCGAATGATCCTTATCTAACACGCCGGCGCGTCCTTACGGACAGCAGAGGCCAAAGGAAGTCGACTCTGCTCCACATTGTAATCACAGCTTCAAGGTAGAGTTCCAGACCGACAGCCGATCGGATTGGTATCCATGTTTCGATGTAGTTTCTACCAATTGAGGCTGTTCGACGGGAGGTGTTCAAGAGTGATATTTGGTGTCCGGATGTGGTGGGATGTAGGAGTGTAGTTGTAGCCGGTTGCAATCCCGCCTCAAGAATCATGTTTCAGGAGACCATTCAGGAATTCAATCATTCTTCCGAAGAACGAGAACAGGATTCAAAGTATATCAAGATATCCTGGACGACATTGCCATTATTGTCCCACCAAGCTAGCTACGCAAAGATGGGTGTGCACCACCATCTCCGTCCGACTCGTCGCGGCGAAAAACGATGTTTGTTTACTCCGTCTGTTCTCCGTCGATCAGCCGCACTAATGCAGCCAAGACTCTTGGCGGGCAGAGCAAGCCACTCCCTAGCCACAGCTGATGAGTTTTCTCGCGTGCTGAGTCAGCGATAAGGCGCTGATAAGATCGTGAAGTCAAAAAAATATCTCAAACGGCTTCAACGTCTTGCGCCGTCAGGGCTTCGGCTGTCTGCTTTTGTTTTGTTGTTTTCACTGTTCTATCGCTCTTCATTGTGTCCTTCTTAAACTTTCTGCATTTCCAATTTTTGAACCGTTTGTTTTTCCTACTTGGTTCTGATACTCCTTTTGATACCCTTTTTCCCTTGTTTGTCTTAAAAAAAAAGTTTGATCTCCCCCCCCCCCCCCCCCCCCCCGGGGATAATGCCCCTCGTTCAGATGGAGGCGACGACGTCTCACCCCACGATGGTCTCCAAAACTCCGTCGTCGGTTCATCCCACCGAAGCGGAGGTCTGTTCTCTTTTAAAAACTATTCTCGAGGCACAGACGTCCGACCAGTCGCTGGATGCCTCCTACGCCCTCACGAATCTACTCATCCAGACCGTCGGTGCCAGCGGCCTGCATGACTATGGCTTACTCCGCGAGATTAAAAAGGCAGCGACCGACAAGAAAAGTGGGGCGAAGAGGGAGAGTGCAATGTTAATACTGGGTGCTCTGTTCGAGAGGTTTCCATCTGAACATCCGCTGAGCGAGGTTATTTTCTTGATCGAGGACGGGGGCTTGCTGCATCTGGCTTTGGACCTGCTTGCGGATAAAGGTGCTGTGGTGCGGGAAGCCGCGCAGTATGCCGTCGATGCCCTGTTTGCAGGTCTGAAGGAAGAGTCCCTGGTAGCTGCTTTGCTCCCCGCGCTGTCGAGGTATCTCGGTAAGCCTACCGGCAAGTGGCAGGGTACGGTGGGCGCATATAAGCTGGTGGAGAAGATGGCGAACAAGGCCAAGATTGGCACGGAAACCAAGGAGAAGGAGCAGTTGAAGGATTTGCTCCGTGAGTCCATGGGGAAAACATTAAAGGACCTCATCCCCATTGTCGAGTCCGGCATGCACGATTTGAAAAATGAAGTTGCGAAACAGGCCGTGAAGACCATGTCGGCGCTCACAACGTTGATCGATAACGATGATGTGACCCCTCGGATCCCACTCCTGCTTACTTCCATGGAGAAGCCGTCCGCTCAAACTCTTCAAAAGGCGATCCACGCTCTCTCGCAGACCACGTTCGTTTCTATTGTGACGTCTCCCGTGCTTGCCCTCCTTACGCCTCTTCTCGAACGATCTCTTAATACACCCTCTACCACTCAGGAGGTGCTCCGACAGACCGTAATAGTCGTGGAGAATCTTACCAAACTCGTGCACGACCCTGTCGAGGCGAGAACATTCTTACCAAAATTAAAACCTGGTGTGCAACGAGTCAAGGATGGTGCTTCTCTGCCTGAAGTACGCGAGATTGCCACACGAGCTATGGACGTTATTCAAAAGGCTATGGGAGAATATGGCGTTGCGGCAGGATCAGTGCCACAGACGACAGTCGACGACGTTCTGAAAGTCTTAGAAACGCAGGTTAAAGCACATGGTGGCATTATTCGAGCCCAAGACTCGTCCTTTTGGAATATTACAAAAACATATGTTTCCGAGATGGTGCGCGACGATGTAAATTCCCGTCAGCTAGATCGCATACCTCTTTGTGTAAGTCCGTACCTTCGTTCACTAGTGAAGGACGACCAGCAGGATGCGATAGCGTCTGCGCTCAAAGCCCATTTTGTCGAGG